GTAAGGTAATCAACTTTATTAATGGTGGATCTGATTTATGTGGACTAACATACTCTGCAGCAAAAAGACACGCCCGGGACTACACCTGAGACAAGTCGTTGCAGGTTTATAGGATCGGAAAACGTCAAGAGGAATGGAGGAATGCATCAATCACGTTTGACGAAACGGACATTTATGATCCGATACAATCTCATCACGATACATTGGTGGTCTCCCTTAGAGTGGCAAACTGCGAAGTCAAACGAATCCTCGTAGACAACGGAAGCACCGCGAATATTACCACCATGAAAACGTTGGAAGAGCTGGGGGCCAAGGAGGAAGATATAACAGGTTCCGGGTCAAGCTTAGTCGGATTCAATGGGGAGCCAAGCAGAACCATATGTAATATTTCTTTACCTGTATATACCCATGGTCTAAACATGCAGGTCAAATTCGACGTGGTCGAAAGCATACCAGCGTACAACATGATCCTGGGAACTCCCTGGTTGCATCAAATGGGAGCAATTCCATCGACTTATCATCAAATAATCAAGTTCCCAACACCGTGGGGAGTACAAAGCATCAAGGGGGATCGACAGTCAGCCAAATCTTGCTACCAAACAGCGATGAAGCCAATTGCGGACCAAACTGTCTGCAGGACCGCATAGCAATTAAAGGGTGGCCCCGCCTTGGTGGAAGATGACGACAAAACAGAAGAAGTTGCCATCGACTCAGAACATCCAGAAAGGGTCATCCGCATCGGGAAAGACATACCAAAGCACCTCAAAGACGAACTGATAAATTTCCTCAAAGAGCATAAGGACGTATTTGCATGGAGCCACGACGACATGACAGGTATTGATCCTAATATCATAACTCACAGGTTAAACGTCAGCCCATTACACAAACCTGTCAGACAAAAAAGAAGACGCTTTGCAAAAGAAAGGAACGCTGTTATGAACCAGGAAGTCGACACGCTGCTCCGAACTGGCAAGGTAAAGGAGGTAAAGTATCCTGATTGGCTAGCTAATGTCGTTGTCGTTCAGAAAAAGAAAGGGCAGGAAGAAGGCAAACCAGTCAAATGGAGAGTCTGTGTGGACTTCACTGATCTGAACAAAGCGTGTCCCAAAGATTCATTTCCAATGCCACACATTGACGCTTTGGCTGACGCTACGGCCGGGCATGAAATGTTATCCTTCATGGACGCATTCAGTGGATACCATCAAATACAGCTTCACCCTGATGACCAAGAAAGCACAGCCTTCATCACTGAAACAGGTACGTATTGTTATATTGTTATGCCTTTTGGACTAAAAAATGCAGGCGCGACGTTTCAGAGACTAGTCACCTTAATGTTCAAAGATCTAATGGGGGACACCATGGAAGTTTATATCGACGACATGATCGTCAAATCAAAGAAAAAAGAGGATCATATCTATCATCTGACGGAACCCTTCAGAAGACTGAAAAAGTACAATCTGAAGATCAATCCAGCGAAATGTACTTTCGGAGTGACGTCAGGAGAATTTTTAGGATATATCGTCAGTGAACGAGGAATAGAGGCGAGCCCGGAACAAATACGAGCAATTATCGACATTGAACCTCCAAAATCCGTCAAAGATATCCAGAGGTTGACAGGACGAATTGCGGCTTTGAATCGTTTCATTTCAAAATCGTCAGACAGGTGCCATTTGTTTTATGACGTCTTGAGAAAAAACAAAAAATTCGAGTGGACAGATCAACACGAACAGGCGCTTCAACAATTAAAAGAATATATGATGTCGCCACCACTGCTCGCAAAGCCTAAAAATGACGAAGAGTTACAACTCTATCTGGCCGTTTCAGAGCACGCCGTCAGCGCAGTACTGACAAAAGAGGAGCAGGGGAAGCAAACTCCAGTCTATTACGTAAGTAAATCCCTAAATGGACCGGAATCCAGGTATGCTTTACTTGAGAAATTAGTTTTAGCTTTGATCGTTGCTTCGATTAAATTACGTCCTTATTTTGAATCACATACCATTTGTGTTAGAACTAACTATCCCATGAAGTCAATCATGAGGAAACCGGAATTGACAGGTCGCATGGCTAAATGGTCGATTCAACTTGGAGCTTATGACATAAGATTCGAACCGAGGACAGCCTTGAAATCACAGTCACTTGCAGATTTTGTGGCAGACTTCAGTCCAAAGCTCCAAGAGGAAGCAGAAAAAGAGATTTGCACTCTGACCGATGGATTCCCAAAGCAAAAATGGACATTGCACACTGACGGAGCGTCAAACCAAAACGGCGCAGGTCTGGGCGTGATACTGAAGTCACCACAGGGGGACACCATGCTCCAAGCAGTACACTGTGATTTCACCGCTACGAACAACGAGGCAGAATACGAGGCGCTAATCGTCGGACTCACATTGGCAAGGGACTTGGGTGTCAAAATCTTGGAGGTAAAATGTGATTCTTTACTGATAATCAATCAAACTAACGGTGTGTATGCAACAAAGGACCCCAAGATGACATCTTATTTGCAAATTGTCCGAGAATTGATAACGGCATTCGACGAAATAACCCTTGAACAAATCCCACGAGAAGAAAACACACAAGCTGACGCTCTGGCCGCCGTCGGATCATGTCTAGGGGCAGAAATCAATCGCAACATCCCCTATGTGCACTTGATGAGCCCGGCAATTTACAGATCAGAGGTTGCCTCTACCATTAAGACCCCGGCACAAGACGACTGGACACAACAATACGTAGCGTACTTAAAGTACAATACTCTCCCAAAGGACAGAAAAGAGGCCAAAGCTTTCCTATCCAAGGCAAGTAAGTTCTTACTGATTGATGATGTGCTATTTAAAAGATCTGTCGCAGGTCCACTCCAAAGATGTCTGACACCGCAAGAAGCCACCAAAGCATTGAAAAATCTTCATGAGGGGGAATGCGGCAATCACGCAGCAGGACGAAGTCTATCTAACAAAGCTCTTAGATTCGGTTATTACTGGCCGACCATGAGAGAAGATGCGACCATATTCACCCAAAGATGCAAGCCCTGTCAGATGCATGGACCGATTCGTCATCAGCCCTCCGAGACGCTTCATCCAGTTCTATCACCGTGGCCCTTTATGAAGTGGGGCATGGATATTGTAGGAAAGTTGCCAGAGGCACCGGGGCAGAAAGTATATATGCTAGCAATGACAGATTACTTTTCAAAATGGGTGGAGGCTGAGCCTTTTCGGCAGATACGAGATGACCAGGTGATTTCGTTTATTAAGAGAAATATCCTTTGCAGATTCGGCGTCCCTTCAGAAATCGTTTGTGACAACGGATCTCAGTTCATAAGCGCTAAAACCAGACGCTTTTGCGAGAAATACAATATCAAATTGGAAACGTCGACACCTAGGTACCCGCAGTCTAATGGGCAGGCCGAGTCTAGCAACAAAATTATCATTGCCAACTTAAAGAAGAGGCTTGAAAAGGCGCAAGGCCGATGGGCTGACGAATTGCCCTTGATACTCTGGGCAGACAAGACGACTCCGAAAAATGCAACCGGACAAACCCCATTCTCACTGGTGCATGGCTGTGAAGCGGTCATTCCTGCCGAGATTGAAATACCTTCTTCGAGGTATGGACTCATGACCGAGGACTTGAACAGAGTGGAGTTGGTGCACGACTTGGATACCATTGACGAGATCCGTGAACGAGCCAAGATCCGTTTACAGACATATCAACAAATGGTGGCAAAAAGCTATAATAAAAATGTTCGGGCAAAGGTGTTTCAGAAGGGAGATTGGGTCTTGAGGAGAGCATTTGGCAATGAGGCAGCCGGAAAATTCAGTCCTAATTGGGAAGGACCTTACAGAATCATTGACGTCATCGGTCAGGGGGCATACTGCCTGGAGTCAATCGATGGTAAACAAGTCCCTCGAAGCTGGAATGCGGTACATTTAAAGCGTTTTCACTTTTAACAAAAGTTTCTTTTGTTTTTTGCATTTCTGTCCCTATTACTAAATAACTAACTTGGCCGTCGGAGGGCCGTTGGCTTAAGGCCAGCGACCGACCCTGACGATAATTATAAATACAGGAAGGCACACAAAAATGGCCAAGTCACAGGTAATTAGTCACAGTTCACATAATACAGTAAATACAATTCATCATTCACTAACTTGACCGTCGGAGGGCCGTTGGCCCCAAACCAACGGCCGATCCCAACGGAACGGTATCATCGCAGGACTATGACAGGTTAAGATCAAAATACCAGGTGACCGAGTACCAGAACAACAGATAGAACATCAGATCTGCTCATGACAAAAAAAACATCAACATACAGGGGACATGAGGCTCATTATGGGGAAACCATGAATGAAGTTCCATGAAACCGAATAAAGTTTTGGCCAAAACACAAAACACATATATGTTCCTCTACGCACACGGGGCAGGTTACATACGAAAATGACATATATAACAACACACACGTCAACATAAACGTCAATCAGGTGACCAAAAGGAGTAGCAACGGAATCACCAAACAACATGGATTTGGCTTGGATAAACCACCAAGCACAATATCCATAAATCCACATGAAAATATTAAAACCATGATGCAGGGGCAGTAATAGCAGAGTGAGTCTTGGAAGCAAAAGTAAATGTTTAAAGATGAGAAAGTAAAGGGGAAGGGGTGCAGTTAGTTATCTCGAGAGCGTCTGGAATCAGCCTCGTTGTCGGACTGACCAACGTCAAAACCGTCTTCTCCAATCGGGGGATCCATCTCATCTTGAAGCTTTGACCAGGTAGCAACGTCCTGTTCCGCAGTCCAGTTTGACGTCTCGCCTGCGAGGAATGAAGTCATCAGTTCACCTCTGGTTTTCCAAGCATAAAAACAGGCCGCGTCAGTGACCTCTTGTATCTTTTTCCTCCCATACGCTTCCAACGACTTAATACGGGTTTTTAAAGTTGAGATTTGAGTTGTCAAAATCGAACTATCACTACGGAGACTTTGGATCGTTCGAGCATCAACATCAGCACGAGCTTGAAAACTTTTCTCTTTTCTTTTTAATTCGTCCACAGCCTTTTCTAGCAGAACCAACCTTTCTGCAGCAACAAGGCTAGCTTGAACACTCTGCCAGGTTAAACAAATTTCTCTCAAGAAGGATTAAATTTCTACAGGTACCAAGCACTTATAAAACGACAAGATACCTGGAAAGCAAAAGCCGAGGAAGCCAGTACCAGGCCAGCTGAGGACACATCCTTGAATACAACGGACGAGGAGGAAAGCAGGACTTGAGGCATTTCACTTCCCATCACAAGAGCATCCTTCAAACAGCAAAAGTCACGAGAGAAAGAAGCGTTCATCTTCCCACCAGAGTCAGGATTGGTTGTGGCACTCACTGGACGAGGAGGAGCAGATTTCATCTCTATGTTGGGGCATTGTGAAGTTTTGGAACAACCAGAGGCCAACTTGGATGGGATTTTCTTCTTCCTCGAGACCATGTTAAGAAGATCGTAATCAGAAGGTATCGGCCGTGTGTTAGACGAAGAAACAACTGCGGCAAAGGAAAATATATAAACATTCTAAATAAAGCAACATTTGACGAATAATTGAGATAGCTGAAACCAGTACCAGCGTGTTGTGCAGAACGTTTTGCTGGAAGAGAACAGGAATCCTGACCACCGGGAAACACCATCTGAAGAGGAACGAAAGCACTTGCATTTTCACCTCCACCCCTCGAGGTTTCTGATTCATGGTCTGAATCATCTACAGAGACCGCGCGTGAATCTTGGGCATCATCAAGGACGCTCTGAATATTACGGCGAGAGCGCCTTAATCCGACGGACCGAGAATGGTCAGGAGTGGGAGACATACCTTCACTATCAACTACTAGATTCCCAAAGGTCCGTTCGGCAGTAGTTAAAGATAAAATTTTGACAGTCCTTCCTTCAGAGTCTGGACCATAGCTCAAGGGGATAGTCTTCCTATCTAAAGCAAAAAAAAAAAAAAACAGTGAAAACGGTAGTTTTGACGTATTGCAGACCAGCCATATAGCGATTAAAAACATTTGAAATTCATATGTAAAGCAAGGAGTTGTCAAGATACCTTTGTGTAAACTCTCTTCAAGAAATGCGCCCTCAGAACTTAGAGAATCTTTTTGCACAAAGAAGAACTGGCTCATCCAGCCACGGTCATTAGCTTTGTCCGCCCTCAATATCAACGCCTCGCGAGCATCTTTGACGGCCAGGGTAAACCGACCAGCTCCAGAAGAACGAAGATCATAGGTAAAACCCAGATCTTCGAAGGAGAAGGGGATGCTGTGTTTTTCGCTTAATACTTCTAAACCACGCAGAACCCTCCATACTTGTGGCATTACTTGGGAAGGAGAAACCTTAACAAAGGCTAGGAAATCTCTAACTAAGGAAGAGAAAGGGAATTTCATACCAATCTTGAAAGGATACATGAAGAAGTTGACCCAACCATCACAATGCCAATCAACCCGTTCGTTAGCGGCTGGAAACCGGATGGATGCATGCGCTGGAAATCCGGAACCATTCTTGATGGCTTCGATATGATTCTCCGAGAGTTTAGCCTGTTTTGCATTCTTCGGATCAAGGATGTGTTGAGGGATGAACTGTTGAGACGCCATAGATTCTCACGATGGATCTCTGCAAGAATCAAGCGAAAGGTATTTCACAAAAGAAGAGTTATGGCTGAAAAGAGACTACTCTGACAGAGGGTTGGTTACTCGAGGAAGGAGGCTGACGGTTTTGTCCATTTCGAGGCAGCATCAAAACGTTTAAAATTCAAAGAAGTAATCGACCGGTTGGATTAAATTGGTAACGATTACTACTTCAAATTTTAGGGGCAATTGTTGGGCCCAGATCTGTCAAGTGAATCGGCCCATTACATTAGATTTGAGTTTACTGGACGGATCGGCCCACGTGATCTTAAGGAAACCACAGAATCCGGCTTGGTCAAATGACATGACGAAGTGGATAAGAAGTTGAGGAGAAAATGGAGGAACAGATCCCGATTTAGTAGGGGAAGGCTACCATTTCGCCGGGTAGTTCGTCCACATGGGGAAAAGGGTTGAAAATTCTTTTTTAAATAGGCTGGCGATAGAAGAAAGGAGGACTCACTTAATTATCTATGCACTTGTAATACCATTTTTCGAATCATACATCCAGATTAATATACTCTCATTCATTAGCTTTCGGTTCTTATATTGTGTTTCTTGTACGATCCCTACATACATATAACTTTAGATAGGTTTAATTCTTGCTTAAACAGGTCTCTTTCGGTATCCCGAAAAAATCATCCCAGAAAGTATCGAGTCTTCCAAAATATTTTGTCACAGATGAGCTTCCTTGACGAAAACTCTGCAATGCTTCCTTTATTTCATGAAATCGCATGGCGTCAGCAAATTCATACAAGGCATTGAGATCTTAGCACATCTCATGTAATGAATCAACATGAGCAATTGTTTTGCGCAAAGAAGGGTCAATTGAAGTCATTAGCCACTCGACCAACTTAGAGTTCATGCTTAACCCGTCTTCGGCGTATTCATCGTCTTCGAGAAGTAGTAACTTATAGACAAAAAAGAGTTTTCTTTTTAATTTCCAGAAAAGAGACTAATAAGGTGTAAGAGGATCATTATATCCTTCCCACGTACTATAGTGACTAATGCTACATTTACCAAAATCACAATGACTAACAATCTAACATTATTGTGACCAACGTCACAGTGAGCTTATTGCATTTTGTAAGGCAGTGAAGTTTGTTTCTAAAGATGTGTTTGAGTGGAGTCATGTATTCAAGTTGTTTCATATTAAATGATTTTGCAGATCATAGAGCAAAGATGACATGCTTTTATGATGATTTTGTTGTTTTCAAATTGAATTATAATATATCAATGATCTATATTTTAGTCATCCGATTTAATAAATCATGTAAATCAAATGACTTTAAGTCATTCTCTTCCCCATTGTAGACATAATAAATGTATACTTTTACAAAGTATTTTTATCTAAGTTTTCATGGGCTTCAATGTGCACTCATATTTTTTCCAAACTTTATCATAGTCATTGTCACATTCTAATTTATTTTCAATTTTGTTTCCTTTTATGAAACTAAGGAGGTCATCAATAAGATGGAAGCAAGATGATATCTTGTTGAAAGAAATGAAATGCTTATATAGTTCTATACCACTATATCATGTTGAAGTATACATTTTGTTGTTGTTGAAGTGTACATTGTTGGTTTTCTATTTGAAGAACTCTTTGAATAGCTATTTGAGTAATAAATAAAAAAGGTTGGTTTTTTTAATATTCGTTATTGATTACTTGTTTCACATTTAAATTGAATATTTGCAAATTCGGGTGTATATCATGATGCAAATGTACCATTAATTTGTTTGAGTTAATGTATCATCAAGTAATATTGTTTGATGCCATATATCAAGTGATGGGGTTATGGGACTAGGTCCAGAGCCTAATCGGCCCAGGCCCCGGACTTGGACCAGCAGGCCCAAGCCCAGTGATCCAGAGCTCATTCCGACCCAACCGATCAGGCCCATCAAAGAGTGAAAGCCCAGGGCGGTCTGCCGTCCAGCCCAGCAGGGAGCCTGCCTACCAGCCCAGTCAGCAGTCTGCCTTCCAGCCTACCCGGGAGCCTGCCTTCCAGCCCAGTGGGGAGTCTGCCGTCCAGCCCAGCGGGGAGCCTGCCTACCAGCCCAGTCAGCAGCCTGCCTTCTAGCCTACCCGGGAGCCTGCCTTCCAGCCCACCCGGGAGCCTGCCTTCCAGCCCAGTGGGGAGTCTGCCTTCCAGCCCAGTGGGGAGCCTGCCTTCCAGCCTAGCCAGGAGCCTGCCGACCACCAACCCAGCTGGGAGCCTGCGGTCCAGCCCAGCTGGGAGCCTGCGGTCCAGCCCAGGTGGGAGCCTGCCTCCTGCCCAACGGGGAGCCTGCCTTCCAGCCTACCCGGGAGCCTGTCTTCCAGCCTACCCGGGAGCCTGCCTCCAGCCCGGTCAGAAGCCTTCCTCCAGCCTAGCGGGAAGCCCACCGTCCAGTCCAGCAGGAGGGAGCTCAAGCATCCAGCCTGCCAGCCAGGCTGACCTGCCAGACAGGAAGAGTAACGGCCAACAATCAATGCGCTACTTAATTATGTGTTTAATTCCGTATTAATGTTGTAATTAATTTAGTCATTATTATGTTCGGCAGTTACCATTTGTAATCGTCTATAAAAGGCAATTCGAATTTCAAATACAGATATGCTATTTCTGGCTAACTTTCCATATTCGTACTTTCCTAATTCTTGCTTCAGTGTCGTACGTAGCTTTCCTAAAAGCCTACGAGCGTCCTATTTTGGACCAACATTGGTGCTTTCATTGAGAGCCTCTATTGTCTCTCACATAACTTGAGTAGGAATCACACAGGAAGATGTCCGGAATCTCGTCTCGACGTGACCATGTCTCAGTCCACACCGAGGAGTCCGCCCGGTCTGGCTGCCAGCGTTCCCTCGACAACCATGCACAGGGCAGGAGGGCGGCGCGCCAAGGCGACCTTCGGAACCAATTATCAGGCCACGGCGACCTAAGGGCGACGCTCAACCACACCCAAGGTGAGCGCTCGGTCCGCAGCCGGCGGGGGGGGAGGCCGACGTCATGCTCCGCGCATGGACCCGGCTCGACTCAATGCCGGGGTGGAAGCCCTGCAGGAGGCAACTCGGGTTCTGGGGACCTTGGCTCAAAATTTCCAACAGATGGTGTCTGGCGGAAATGTGGATGAGCCTGCCCGTCAACAGACGCCAGCGGATGTGGAGGTGTCCTCCAGGCGGCGTGATGAGCGACGCTCTGGATCCAACCAAAACAGGGGGGAAGAAGTCTCCCATCGGCGGGGGGAAGAAGTCTCTCAGCAGCCTAGCCGACCTAATCGGAAGACGGGGAGGGGCGCCCAGCAGGGGCGCCCAACGCAGATGGAAGGAGGCGAGCCCTCTCGCCACTCTCACCGGGCGAGCAGTCGGACTGGCTCCACGGAGAGGCAAAACGTGGGGCCCCGACCTCACGTGCACGGACGACTTATAGGTGCCGCCGGACATGCCCAGCCCTGCGCTGGAGCTTTCGGGGGAACCCACCGCCGGCCGAGGTGGAAGATCTACGACAGCGCCTTGACGAGTTGAGAAGGAGGGTCGTCGGGGGGGAGCCTTACACGGCCGACCTCCGGATACCCGAACCCTTCACCCGGGCGGTCATGGATGCGCCGTTGCCGAGGGGCTACAAGCCCTGCGCCATTGAAGCATACAAGGGCGCTTCTGACCCCCAGCATCATGTATCTCGGTACCTTTCCTACATGGTCATGATGGGGTACGAGGACGCCATCCGATGCCGCGGTTTCTCCGCCACTTTGGATGGCCCGGCTCGTGAATGGT